CATTGGTTTGAAGCGGCCACTCGGTATATAAGTCAGTGATGTACAGTACCGAATGGCTGACCTCTCAGGGATGAACAACTCGTTTGGCCTGGATGGCGTTCGCCCCGTCACTCCTCTTGCTGTACACCTCCCCGCTCTCTGTACAATGGCTTTTGAAAAGGGGAAAAAATAAAGATTACCTTCGAAGCAACCTTTGATCTAACGGGTGGAAGCCAAGCAGAACTTGACAGACATCCAAATCTTTCAAAAGAAGAACAACTGTCCACCTTACATCCCATTCTCTTGCTATGTGCTTTGCTTGAAGGCAAAAATTACGATGGCGAGATGGAGGTGCGATTTTTATGACGCCACTGAATGTCTTTGGTGGTGTAGACGCCTCACCGCGCTGGAGTTTGGTGGGGACCACACCTTGACGCCTAGCCACCAATGACGCCGATGACGTCATCGAAACCGCCCCGCCCTTCCGCTTCTAACTGCCTCTAGCTGCGCCAAAATACAGAACAGGGACCTTACGCAGAACATTACCAGCTCCAGTAGGCAAACTCTAACAGATCCACGGTACAATAGCGTCTCAAATACCATGTGATGCGAACGTGTACGTTCAATTGCACGTCTAATGCTATATGTCAGTTAGGGACCACAACGGTGTGGTCCACCGTGTGACTACACCGGGTGGATAGACGCGCTATGCCGGGAACGCATACAATGTTAACTTTTGAGTGGGAGCCTTCCATCCCCCCTCTCTCTCCATAGCAAGGTCAACCATCGCACTCGCAATTTTCCAAGATTCTTGACACCATCCTCTTCAAAGGGATCTCAATGCGACCCCCACCACCCCTATCAGTCCTGGGTCTATCTACTGCCACTACCCTCACCATCATGGCTGTTTCCATAGTATGAGATTCTGAGACCAGTCGAAACCATCCAACTTGCGCCCACTTCCCCACTTTTTTCCTGTAAAACGGCAGTCGGGGTGGGAGGGGAGGGGGGGGGGGAAGCAGCAAATCACCAATCTCGTTTGGTTCATTCTAATTTCGTGATAATTTCCCCAAACTCGGCAAAAACCCGTACGATCCCGTTCACACTTTTCCCAGAGGTAGTTCAACTTTGCCTAAAATGCGATCCCTCGTTCGAATAGTGCGGACGAACGGTTGACCCTGCTCCGTAGCCAAGTTCCAAGTCCGCTCGTGATTCCCGACTTCGTTCCGATCGGCTCCAGGGTTTCTTGTTGAGTCCGGGTCTGTGAAAAGGGAGCCTTCCGCTTCTCATAACTTGCTTCGCAATAAGATTGTGTGGCACACATTACGAAGCAACATTCTTTATGGCATCTATCAGTAAATGTAAACAATCTAGAAAACTGTGACAAGCTCGTGATAACAATGCTTTTGAAAAGCAGTCAATGCCCAAATAAATCATCTAGGTTAGTTCGAACAAACCAAAACTGACCGTATTATTACAAGAATGCCCAAAAGAAAGCACATCTAATGGGTTTCACGAAGCAAGAACGTGAGAGCGACATAAAGGGATGGTGAGGAGATCAGCGCTCCGCCCATTCTGGACGAGGTTCCGGCGATCGGACCACAAGAACAAAATAATCTATAGACCACTACAACTCGATTTTTTGAGCAGCGTCAATTTGTAGCCCTCGCCCGCTCAGATACCGATTCGTGGCTGCGAAGACCTTGCACCCAAGTTATGCACACAGATGTAGCACGATCCCCCTCCATACCATCCTGGAGTGCAAGGAGACATCGACTCATCAAGACTATAAGGAAGTTACAAAAAGCTGGTTGTAAAGCAAAACTTTCGATCCAGACGGAACGCAAACCCGCACCTTTCGCCTACCGCAAAGGCAGCCGTTAGCTAACAGGGCACCCATTTTTTAACTTGAGGATCCGGATAAGGTCGGAGGTAGAATAAGGGAAACACATATACCTAGTGAAAAGGCAGGCGAACTCCCAAGGGAGTGGGACCATGCGTTTTGCAGCGAAAGGTTTGCCTCAAGCGGGCCTAGCAGAGCCGGTGTACACTCGCGACGCTACCGGCAATACTGACACCTGGCCGTGACCCGGCGGCCTAACTAGCGTTTGCAGAGACGCAGAGCAGCAGCGCGGAATGGAACACAGGTTCAATAAGACCGGCCAATGGGAAACGATCAAAAAGTGGTCAAGTCTGAATTCTACGCTTTCCATCTTGCATACGACCATCTATTACTGTACTTCAATAAGCTGTCGTGACTACCCTGATATCCGCCGCAATCGTGCCAAGCCTTGTCACCTGATATAGCGCTACAATAAGATTCAATCCAACCGTGTCGATGAAGGCGACACCGATAAGCCTCCTCATAAATACGTAATCAAAGCAATAGCTATACAAGCTCATTATACTTCCTGTGGGGAGCGTCCTCGCAAAGTAAATCGTTCATCTAGAAGGACAGGTTGGATACGGAAGCGCTACTGCTTGTTTCTACCTTTCGCGACGTCGCGCAAGGCGCAATTCTGCATAAGAGCCGCGCTGCGCAACCCCAATTAATGGAGGTGTACCGATTTATCACCATCAAAGAAGAAGGGGAAAGATAGATCGAGGAAATGGGAACCAAATCCCCAGATCCAGTGCCTACCACAGGCGAAACTGATGTAAATAAATGTTTCTATTTCTCAAGGTCCGATCGCTCGAAACTGTACAGAATATGCGTAACGCGTAACCACCGAACGCTTGCCCTCAACGCCACTTCCACATTCCTGCCTACTAACCATCACAAGTAATCTTTTCGTCTAATCACACTCAGAAGAAGTTGATCAGTACTGCTCGTAAATACCCCGCTATACAAAATGCAAAACATAACAATATGTGAACTATAAAATTTAAAACGTTCTTTCGTTGGCTAAGAACAGAAGTGCTTGTGCGGCATAGAACAGCATTCTCGATAACACTTGAATGTTCTCTGTTCTTTCGCCAAACATATTCATCACAAACAATGAACTGCTAGCTATTTGCGCTATAGTTCCAATAAGGCGAATATAGGATGCCTAAAATAGACGTTTACAAATGTGTAAAAAAAGCTGCTGGTGTCAAGAAAGCGGGTAGTATCCCTTATTCTGATTATATAACCCCACTTTATTTTTTGCAGCAAGGCCGATCGTAATTGCGGAATCATTGCCACATGTGTATTGTATCGAATAGACCGATTATACTTCCCTATGCTCTTCATGATTCGCGATGTCACGAAAGATGCTAACCAGGAAATGCTTTGAAGTTCCTATGGAACTTTGGAAGGAGACCTAGATGAATCGATAGAGTCTTGAACGCTGATTACAAATATGGACACTAAAACTGCTACGTGAACTTCCTAAGAAAGTTATGAGCCTTCAAAGTTGGCAAAAAACGTTACTGAGGCGAGCTTACCTGATGGAATCACAGTCGCCGTGGCTCTGCGCCAAAAACGAGTCTCATATTC